TCACTGGGGGCCTGACTCGGTGTTTCCTGGGGGGAGGGGTTTGGGTGCAGGTGAATCCTCCCGCCGTGGTGCCCATCCCTGTACTGAGCCGGGCGGGGTCTCAGCCTCTGGCTGTGGGAGGGAGCCCCAGTCCCTCGTCTTGCCTGGGGAAATTCTCCTTGGTGCCCTGTGCCCCACAGATACTCACGTCCCTGCGCCCCGCTCTGCCCAGCTGACTCGGTGTTTCCTGGGGGGAGGGGTTTGGGTGCAGGTGAATCCTCCCGCCGTGGTGCCCATCCCTGTACTGAGCCGGGCGGGGTCTCAGCCTCTGGCTGTGGGAGGGAGCCCCAGTCCCTCGTCTTGCCTGGGGAAATTCTCCTTGGTGCCCTGTGCCCCACAGATACTCACGTCCCTGCGCCCCGCTCTGCCCAGCCAGCCAGCAGCCTGGAAAGAGACGGGTCGTTAGGGGCCAGATCCCAGAGCAAGTGGATCCCACAAATCTCAGCTCCCCTTTCCCCCCATGGGCACACGCCGTGGTCTCAGATCCACCCGGCACATGGGCCCACACTCTGGCTGGCCCCGATACTCATCAAAGAAGAGTATCGCCTCATGGTGGGAAGGTGAGGGGCCCCTCCGCTCTGCCACCAATGCCCGGTGCCCAGCTGCACCCAGCCCCAAATACAGGGCTCAGCTGGTGGCTGCAGCGACAGGAAGGTGAGGATGTCTCATCTCTTCCTGTGTCCTTCTCACTTTGGCCCTAATCTGCAGCTGCCATCTAGAGCGGTCACAGTGAGCGCAAGTCTCTGCACAACCCTGGAAACCTTGGGACCGGCAGCCTGGCCAGGCCTCCTGCAGCCCCAGCTTGTGTGTGTTTCTGTGGGGGAGGGGGCCATGACACCCTCCACCTCACCCTGCCAGCATGAGGAAGGTGCCCCAGGCTGGGAGCCAAGAGACCTCAGGCCGTGTTCTTCAATCTTCCAGGAATCACGATCTCCATTCAGACGTCCCTCCCTCCCCGCAGCTTTTCTTAGCAGCTGGGTTCAAGTGGCCGATGACCCATGTAGGCAAAATTAATAGGTGATCGTGCAAGTAAAGGTTGGCATGGGAATGAGGGGCAGAGTTAAGGGTGTTTAGGGAAACAGTCACTGTGGCGTTTCCTGGTTTTGAAGGATTTCACTCTGCTGCCTTCCTATCCAGTCTGCAAGGCAGCCCACATGCGACACGCGCCTTGGCACCGTGCGAGGAGCGGGCACGATGGGGTACGCCTGGGTTTGCGGCTTCTTGAGCCACAGCTGAGCGGGATGACTGCTTTACACTGTAACAATGTAGTAAGTTGAGGGTCAGGTTGGAAGCAATTCCTTCCCCCTCCCTCCCCCGCCCCACATCATCTCCATCCTGGGGCTACTAAGGTGTTGGAAAACTCTGCTTTTTTGGCAGACAACGTAGCCGGTAGCAGGAGCTCTGTGTCTAACTCATATAGAAAGGAAAATAAAGTAAATGAATATTAGAGCCGCTCAGCTCTGACACTAGCATGTTCTGACCTCTTATAGCAAGTCACTTAAGGGACACTGGTTCACTTTCAAATATTTATGTCTAGTCTTACTTAGTGACTGACTCTGGGGAGAGAGAGAGAGACCCCAGCCGGACTCCTGGGCTCTCTCTCAGCTCTGCAACGGCAGTGGGGCCTAGTGGGTTACAGCAGGGGGCAGATACATTTCAGCTCTATGTAAGAATATCAGAACGGCCGGACTGGGTCAGGCCAAAGGTCCATCTAGCCCAGGGTCCTGTCAGCCCACAGTGGCCAATGCCAGGGGCTTCAGGAGGAATAAACAGAAGAGGCAATCATCACGCTCATTCCCAGCTTCTGCCAAACAGACCCCAGGGACACCATCCCTGCCCAGCCTGGCTAGTAGCCATTGATGGACGTATCCCCCTTGAACTTATTTTGTACTTATCGGAACCCTGTTATGGTTTGGGCCTTTCCACCATCCCCTGGCAAGGAGTTCCACAGGTTGATTGTGAAAAAAAATGTATTTTATTGGTTTTACAGCTGCCGCCTGTTAATGTAATTGAGTCGGCTTCTTGTGTTCTGTCAGCGAAGGAATGAAGAACATTTCCTTATTCCCTTTTTCCACACCGTTCATGATTTCCTAGACTTCTAACACATCCCCGGTGACTGGCCACCGGAACGGGCGGCGTCTGCCTCCAA